AGCTTTAGCAGCATCGACCCACAATGGCTAAACCGGCGCCAGGCACGCAGCTTCATTGTGACACACTGGCGTCTGACACATACTGTACCGGCCCAATGTATTCTGTGTCCTCATTGTTGCACAATGCCAAACTCCCATAGGAGATGAGTGAAAGGGTCTAGATAACCTCCATTTTGTTGTTGTACGCCATTTTAAGTATTAAGTTAGGTTTTTGCAGATATATTAGAAGTTTAATGAAACTGTTTCAGCTTGCACCAGAAAACATAAACAATGATAAGACGACCCTGACATTGTCTTTGCCCGGCTATTTCTCAGAAAGCTAGCAAAAACAATTTATACCAAGAAATGTATATGTCATGTTTCATGTAGTTAGCTCATGATGGAAATTTACAAGTTACAGTTTTGAAACTCGCTCCCCCCCCCCCTTATTTTTTTCTGTATCCTATATAATCTTAGTAATGTCTAATAAACTTTGAACATCTCTGAACTTAAGCTGCCGTTATTTCCGTGCTCAAGGAGTGTTTCCAGAATTCAGCTGATAAACCAGGAATCTCTCCACAGACCGGGGGTCTCTGAGGGGATAAGAAAATCATCCTTTCAATGAGTTCTAAAACAATCATTTTACAGTAGATAATCCATATATGTATGAACAGTTTTGACTGTGGACCAGGCACACTCGTTTACAGGTGCAGGTAATGATCTAATAGTCTATGCACAATAAAGTTTGACAGTTCTGAGCATTTTTCAAATCTAAAAAAAATTCCGGTTGTAGGCAGGTGCCTACAAGTTTAGCTGCTGTTAGACAGGAATTCCAGACTGCCCAGGTGGGAAGGGGTTAACTTTGATTCTGCCATTTTCCCAGGTTTTGCTGGGCTCTGTGAGGAAAAAAAAAGGGAGAAGGCTTATTCCAGAGGATTCCAGAGGACTGCATGGGAGATGTGTAAGAAGCCCAAAGAAAAGCATGTTACCAGGAGCAAGCTGCAACCACAACCCTAAGGGAGCCTACCTGCTAAGGACTTTGCCATGTAACGGTATGCCTGGACAGCCTAGGGATAACTAGTTAGTAAGGGACTGATGTGTTCATGTACTGTATATGAATGAACTGTAATGTAGCTGTACTGCTGCAGAGTTTCAAGTAGAGTTTCATTAACTGTTAAAGGCCTGGTCTGAAGTTACTACAAGGGGGGGGGGGCATGGTGGTACATGGCATATTGGAGAACATGGCCTGTAATATGGGGTGAAGAGTAGGATAACTGTTGTTACAAATACACAGCTATTACACAGTATAACAGTGACACTCTCTTTAGGGCCCCATGCAGTTGGGCTGGGCATTTAGCATGAAACTCTGGCATTTAAGTGCAGGTGGAAGATGCAGGCACACTAACCAATCCCAATGACAGCCGCCTGTAAATGTCTTTGCTGTGGGTGAAAGGGGCTGGATGGTACTAAGGTGGTGTTTACACAGTGCAGGGCTGTTTGCCCCCAGGGACGAAAGACCAGAATGCAAGCAGTTTGTATTTTGAAGATTCATCCCTGGGTGCACACTGCCGTAAACAATACTACTGTGTGGTGCAAATGGAGAAACAGAAAAAGGGCGCACCGACCTAGTGCATTATCGTTTAAAATAATTTATTAAAGAAACAAAAATAGGTATCATACTCACAATGGACATAATAACACAGGCATGTCAAACTGAACAAGATGTATGATCCAAACAACATCTGAGTCCATACGATGGAACCCTGGATGGCCAACTTTCTAACGCTTTTCGAGGACACAACCTCTTCCTCAGAGCCAACCGTTTGGCTCTGAGGAAGAGGTTGTGTCTTCAAAACGCGTTAGCCAGTTGGTCATCCAGGGTTCCATCGTATGGACTCAGATGTTGTTTGGATCATACATCTTGTTCAGTTTGACATGTCTGTGTTATTATGTCCATTGTGAGTATGATATCTATTTTTGTTTCTTTAATAAAGTATTTTAAACGATAATGCACTAGGTCGGTGCACCCTTTTTCTGTTTCTCCATTTGTATCCAGTGTATTTGGACCACCCCGGTCTGTTGAGGGCAGCAAGCAGTGCATATTCCAGAAAATTCCAGAACATTCCTATTGGGTCTACTGAGTCCTTTCCTAGTGCAGGAGTAAAGTGTTTGTTGTGTTGGACTACTGTGTGGTGCACTGTCCAGCCCTGTCCAGCTGTAGTAGCTGTCAACCTGTAATAGACTTTTATAAACTGCTGGCAGTGGGGTTGGATGGTGCTCTCTGAAGCCTCATGCATCAGGGCTAAATGCCCACTGTGCATGAGGCCTTAAGGGCATGCTGGGTTTTCTAATCAAAAGCCATGTATGTACGTAATGCTTTTTTTGCAGACTGCATTTTTTCACTATTTAAGTTGCTACTGTTTCTGATATCAGGAGAGGAGTAAGTATATCCCTTCTTTGACTCAAAAGGTCTGTTTTTAGCACAAAGCTTGAATGGTAGAGACCCAAACAATTAATTTCAACAAAGATCTTGTCATACGATTAAATGTACATTAAACATATTTTTGCATTTTATTTACCTGCAAAAGCCTCTGTTGTGTAGACATCTAAAAGCTTGTGGGCTGCTGCTGGACACCACCACCTTGGATGTGATCATGATGGCAGCAGCAGCAAATTCAACACACTCACTAAAGTAGCATTTGAAATTATTCTCTGGCAGCTACATTTAAGTTTATGTAGGGAGTTACTTTATAGGGAGGGATGGAGATGCTGGGTCAGCAAACAGAGTAATTAGACACTCCTAGAAGTTGAAAGGGCTATGAGGAGGGAGATGTACTGTACTGTATGTGCTGGGGAATTTAGAGTAGTCAAATTGTCTAGTAAGTTCAATTGCAAATGAATAATAAAAATAATTCATGGAAAGGAAAAAAAACACTGCAAAAGTATGCATTTACAAAACACCCCATGGTTCACTCTGCATTTTTTTGTCACTGACAGGGTACTTTTAACAGAAGATAGACTATGCATTAATCTAAATTTGAAATGTAAGATATTTAAATGTATCTAGTTAAAGAGTTAAGCCCAGAATATGTATAAAATATACTGTATTATTTTTTAATATTGAACCAAAGTCCAAATTATATCTTGGTTTTTAAAATTGTTATACGGTCATAATTAATAATCATTTTCGAATTTAGAAACATTTTTGGGACTTACTACACTATATTTTTTGATTTTGTTTTATTTGGTCTTTGCATACAATGCATGTCCCGAGGAAAAAGTTGATTTGGAGAAAAAAGTGTGCAAAACATTTCGATAATGATTCCCAACAAACTTTATTTGACCCATATGTAATATTAAGGGTCTGTTTTTCTGGTTGGGGCATAAAATATCTTTATGGACTGCCTTGGACATTGGGATCTTCAACCACCTAAGCACCACCTACCTGTAATGTATTGCGGACGGGTGGCAGCTACAGGCAGAGCGACGTACCGTTTTTTCACTCTGACTGTACTAACACAGGGGGGCACGGCACACCCACTCGAGCACATCACAATGTTAGCAATGCTGTTATGAATTAATCTGATTCATAACAGCTGTGCTTCCCTTCCTAGTGAGCTGCAATTGGCACGCAGCTCTCACATGGTACATGAGCCAATCAGTGCACCCTGTACCATGTGATTAGCTGTAGCCAATCACAGATCACTAGTATTTTGAACTGTCATGCACTTAAGCCATTCATGACAGTTCAAAGCAAGCACTGCATTGCAGGAGCAATAATCTTTATTGCTCCTGCAAAGCAAAGTATCAAAAAAAAAAATGCCTGATCACCCCCAGAGTTGTACAATGTTACTATGGTAACATTTAGGGATGCACCGATATATCAGTGGCCAAAACACGTGTTATCAGCATTTTGCTGATAAGAATGTATTCGCACAACAGTACATCGCTGCCCACCCAAATTCAGGTATTGCCATACGATCCACATGGAAACCTATCATGGTTTCCTAATTTAAAACGTTTTTGGGCCTAACCCCCAACATGGGCATTACAAAAAAGAATGAATTGTGGTCATATTGGTCCACACACCCAATTCATCATATGCCCATGTTCTCTGCTATTAATATAGGTCCAAAAAGGACCAGCAACATACAGGAATTTGAGTGGCTATATAAGGATGATGCCTGCTGCTACAGGCATCATCCTGGTATCATTTTTCTCAGCTGGCAGTCGGATTTCATGTAAAAGTATTCTTAGTGGCTAATTAGTCGCTGGATTGCTTGTACAAGCAGCAGGAAGGGACCTGCCTTCCACAGCTTTCTTGGGCTCTCTTATTCTACCAGGGAACCCGAGAATGCCGACAGACGCACCAGCTGACCATATAGCTGATCGGAGACCGGAATTGCTCCAATCATCTCTATAGTGTAAGAAACTGGAAGCAATGAGCATTTCATCATCTCGGTTTCACCGGATATAAACAACACCGTTTTAAAAATGGGAAAGCATCTGATCACACTGATCTTGGTGTTATTGGATGTTTTAAAGGCAGAGGAGATATCTAGAGTCAAATAGACCCCAGGGTCTCAGAAAAGAGTACTTGTCACTGCCTATTGATATCACAGGGGATATATACATTCCCTGTGATAGCAATAAGTGATTTAAAAAAAAATTAAAGGGACAGTGTAAATATAAAAAAAAAATCACCCCCGCCCCTCCCCCCATGAATGCGTGCATAGGCAAATGAAAGTGTCGGTCCCGTGTCAGTATGTAAGAGATTGCATCATGCATGTGAGGTATCACTGCGAACATCAGATTAGGGGCCGTAATTCTAGCACTAGACCTCCTGTGTAAATCTAAAGTGGTAACCTGTAAAGGCTTTTAAAGCATCATCTATGGATATTAAAAATTTACGTAGTTTGTTGCCATTGCACGAGTGTGCGCAATTTTAACCACCTCCCGCCCGCCATATAGTCCAATGACGGGCGCAAGGTGGCTCTCTTGTTCTGAGAGGACGTCATATGATGTCCTCCCATTCTCACCGCGCATGTGCGGCTCAGGGAGCGTGCAGCGCGGTGATCGGCAGTGCGCTGTGTCCCTCGGACACAGTGGATCACCATTCATGGAAAGAGCCGAAGATGTCGGCTCGGTCATGTGATCAGCTGTGTCCAATCCAATCACAGCTGATCACATGTAAACACGGAAATGCCGGTTTCCAGCATTTCTCTCCTCTCGAGCTGTCACGCTGACAGCTCGAGAGGAGAGTAGAGCCGGTAATCGGCTTTCTGCGGAGGGGACATGTACACTGATCATCAGGGCACTGATGATCAGTGTACCCTGATGATCAGTGCAGTCCTAGCAGTGCCACCTGTCAAAGTCCATCAGTGCCAGCTGTCAGTGTTGATCAGTGCCACGTGCCAGTGCCCATCAGTGCCACATCAATGCCGCATATCAGTGCATACCAGTGCACATCAATGCCACATATCAATGCCCATCTGAGCTGCCTTTCAGTGTCATCCATCAGTGCCAGTCAGTGCCACCTATCAATGCCAATCAGTGCCACCTATCAGTGCTGCCAATCAGTGCAACCTATCAGTGCCAGTCAGTGCCGCTTATCAGTGCCAGTCAGTGCCGCCTATCAGTGTGCATCAGTGCCACCTATCAGTGCCGCCTAACAGTGCCAGTCAGTGCCGCCTAACAGTGCCAATCAGTGCCGCCTATCAGTGCCAGTCAGTGCCGCCTAACAGTGCCATATATCAGTGCCATGTATCAGTGCTGCCTTTCAGTGCCCATCAGTGATGCCTGTCAATGCCCATCAGTGCCACCTACCAGTGCCTCCTCATCAATGGCCATCAGTGCCACCTATCAGTGTCCATCAGTGCAACCTATCAGTGCCCATATTAGCCCACATCAGTGAAGGAGAAAAATCACTTATTTACAGAATTTTCTAACAAAAACTAAGAAAAAACTTTCTTCAAAATTTTCAGCGGTTTTTGGTTTGTTTAAGAAAAAATAAAAAACCCAGAGGTGATTAAATACCACCAAAAGAAAGCTCTGTCACAAAAAATGATAAAAATGTCATATGGGCACAGTGTTGCATGACCGCGCAATTGTCATTCAAAGTGCGACAGCTCTGAAAGCTGGAAATTGGCCTGGGCAGGAAGGGGGTATATGTGCCCTGTAGGCTATTGGTTAAAGCATGTCATGTTTGGTATCTGTTTACTCGGCAAAGCATCATCTTTTATAGTTTATCAAACAAATGGGCAATATATTGTGTTTTTGTTCATTAAAATTCAAAAAAGTGTATTCTTTCCAAAAAATTTGCTTTTGAAAAATGGCTGCGCAAATATTGTGTGCCATAACATCTTTCAACACCCACAATTTTATTCTATAGGGCCTCTGATTTAAAAATTATATAATGTTTGATGGTTCAAAGTACTTTTCTAGAAAAAATTATGGTTTTTCATAAAAACAAAAAGTGTCACAAAAGGCTTAGTCTTGAAGTGATTGTTAGCCCTGAAATGGCAGGATAGTAGGAGCCCCCCCCCTTTTTCTACTTTTTGGAAAGTAGACACTTCAAGGTATTTGCTAAGGGGCATGGTGAGTATTTTGCAGATCTCATTTGTTGCCACAAATTTTTGGAAAATTAAGGAAGAAAAAAATATTGTATTGTTTATTTAATTGTTTTTTCAAAACCCTGTGACAAAAAGTATAGCTGCAAAATACTCACCATGCCTCTTATCAAATTCCTTTGGGTGTCTAATTTCCAAAAAGGGGTCATTTGGGGGGGGGGGGGGGTCTGTACTATCCTGGCATTTTAGGTCCTCCAAAACTGTGAGAGGTAGTGAGGAAGTGACATGAGGAAATATGCTCTTTGAAATCCTGAAGGTATTCATGGGATTTTGTTGGCCTGTATGTGGCTAAGCTGCCAAAAAGGTCTCTCACATGTGGTATCTCCATGATCAGGAGAAGTAGCAGAATGTGTTTTTGAGTGTTATTCCACATATTCCTATGGTATGTGTGAGCAATATATCATTTAAGTGACAACTTTGTATAAAACAAATGGTTTTTGTCATTGTCCAAAAATTTGTGGTAAAAAATAAAATCTTCTATTGACTCAACATGCCTCAAATCTTTGGGGTATCTACTTTCCAAAAATGGGATAATTTTGGGGGATTTTGTACTGCCCTGGCATTTTAGCACCTCAAGAAATGTGATAGGCTGTCAGAAAGTAAAAGCTGCGTAAATTGCATTATATATATACCATAGTTTGTAGACGTTATAACTAGAGATGAGCGAATTATTCAAAAATCGATTCGGCTGATTCGCCGAATTCGCGGAATAAATTTGATTCGAGGCGAATATATTCGCTGCGAATTTAACTTATAAAAAGGGTGTTTCTAGGCTTCAGAGAGCCTTTATATTAGTGCAGAACACTGTACCTTTAATTTAAATGCCCTTGGAGTCTGCTGGGGAAGAGAACTAATACTGTCAGTCAGTATGACATGCAGATGAGTGCCGTCGATCTTAGAATCACCGCACACTTCACTCATTTGGGCAGTCACGGGGCCAAAACCAGAGTGTGGAGCCACAGTGTGGCGGTGGAGGCAGCAGCAATGGGAGGCCATACAGCACCCTATGACAAAATGGAACCCACCAGCAGTGTGAGGAGACCTGAAAGTGGCACATGGCAGAGTGTGGCGATGGAGACAGCAGCAATGGGAGGCCGTACAGGGACCCATGACACACTCTGGACCTGGCAGCAGCATGAGGAGGCGGTACAGGGGCCCATGACAGATTACGGGCCTGGCAGCAGCAGTGGGCGGGCGGTGGATGCAGCAGTATTCGGAAGCCAAACACAGGCCTCGGTTAAAAAGCAGAAGCCGTCAGCAGCGTGAGCAGATGACAGGCACATGGCGCAGGGTGGCGGTGGAGGCAGCAGCAATGGAAGGCCATACAGCACCCTATCACAAAATGGAACCCACCAACAGTGTAAGGAGACCTGAAAGTGGCACATGGCAGAGTTTGGCGATGAAGTCAGCAGCAATGGGAGGCCGTACAGGGACCCATGACACACTCTGGACCTGGCAGCAGCAAGAGGAGGCGGTACAGGGGCCCATGGCAGAGTGGCGAAGCGTAAGCAGCTTAAATTGAAGGCCATACAGAGGCCTATGTTAAAAAAATAATAACATGTTTGGGGCATGATTCATGGCGGATTTAGTCAGTTGTGTCAGGAACTGGTGGTTTGAAATCCAGACTAATCCACGCCTGATTCATTTTCACAAACGTGAGTCTCTCCACACTTTGGGTGGACAGTCGTGTCCTCCGCGGAGTTACAATACCTCCTGCCGCACTAAACACGCGCTCCGATGCCACGCTACTGGCCGGGCATGACAGCCTTTCAAGGGCAAATTCAGCTAGTTGGGGCCAAAGGTCAAGTTTCGTTGCCCAGTAGTCAAGGGGATTGTCTACCTCGGTTGGCAGGGTGCTGTCCAAGTAGGCCCGAGCCTGTTGTTTGAGGTCCTGCTCCAGGTCCACCTGATGCTGCTGCTGCTGCGGCTGGTTAGTAGTTTCCTCACTGCGCTGGTGAAGAAAGCTACTCATCATCGACTGCAGACTGAGGCAGCCGCTGCTGGTGGAGCTGCCACTGCTCCTACCACCCCACCCCTCCCCTGCTGCCATGGCAGCGGAACGTGAGCACACAGGGCCCACAGTGTCTGAGGATGGACGTTGGCGCAGAAAGGCAGAGACCAACTGACTACATAGGTGGTTTTTATAGTACTTTATTTTGGCCTCCCTCTCAGCAGGTGTGAAAAAGGCCACCATTTTTGAACGGTAGCGAGGGTCCAACAAGGTGGACAGCCAAAAGTCATCCCTCTGTCTGATGGTTATTATTCGGCTGTCGCTACGCAAGCAACCGAGCATGCTATGGGCCATTTGTGCCAAGGAATGCAAGGGACTCCCTGCCTCCATCTCCACAGCATACTGCCACGGTGCGTCTGGGTCCTCTGTCTCCTCCTCCTCCTCTACCAGATGCTCCTGCTCCTCCACTCCTGTCCGCTGAGTGGAAAAACCACCCCATTTCACTCAATAATTCCTGAGCACCAATGTCCTCCTCTACCTCCTCCTCTTCTTCCTGTCCTGCCCCCACAGGGGTCATGTGGCGTTGAGATCTGTGCGCCACGTCTACCGCACCCTGACCAGCCATTGTTAACAGCATTTGTTCCAGGACGTGCAACAGAGGAATGACGTCGTTCATCCCATAGTCCTGCCGACTCACGAATAGCGTGGCCTCCTCAAAGGGCCTGAGCAAGCGGCAGGTGACACGCATGAGCTGCCAATGGCTGACATCTAAGTTACACAGGGGAGTACCTTTATCCGCTTGTAACATCAGGAAATTGGTGATGGCCTTTCGCTGTTCGTAAAAGGCGGTCTAACATATGTAGGGTTGAATTCCACCTTGTTGCAACGTCGCAGATCAGGCAATGCTGTGGAATTCCGTTCTGCCGCTGCAGCTCAAGGAGGGTGTGCTTTGCGGTGTAGGAATGGCTGAAATGCATGCAAAGTTTACGTGACATTTTAAGGATGTCTTGCAGTGGGATGGTGGATTTTAGGAACCGCTTGACAACCAGATTGAACACGTGAGCCATGCATGGCACATGGCACAACCTTCCTTGACACAGAGCAGACACCATGTTCTTTCCGTTGTCGGTCAACATGGTTCCGATTTTCAGTTTGTGCGGAGACAGCCATCTGTCGATTTCTCTGTTCATTACACTCAGAAGTTCCTCCCCTGTGTGACTACGTTCGCCAAGGCATACCAGGTGCAGCACAGCGTGACACCGTTGCGCCCTGCACATGTGATATGCCGGTCGGGTAATGGGGACTTGGCACGGGGGTGGGCGGCTGAGGACACGGCGGAAGAAGAGGTGGTAGAGGCGGACATCTTTGCTGGACCAAGGACGTGCAAACGTGGAGGCAAAAGCGGCGTGACCTGTCCAAGTTGCTGGTGCGGCTGTGCCGGCACCACGTTCACCCAGTGGGCCATAAATGACATGTACTGTCCCTGACCGTAGTTACAGCTCCACACGTCTGCGCTGCCGTGCACTTTGGCAGAGACCGACATGCTCAAAGACTGGCCCACCATCTCTTCTACATGTGAATGCAGGGCTGGCACTGCCTTTTTGGCGAAGAAATGCCGGCTTGGCACTCTCCACCGCGGCTTGGCACAAGTCATCATTTCTCGGAAAGGTGCTGAGTCCACCACTTGGAAAGGGAGGGACTGCAGCACCAGCAACTTGGACAGGAGGACGTTCAGCTTCTGCACCGTCGGGTGCGTGCTCGCAAACTGTTGTCTCTTGGAAACGGATTCCAAGAAAGACTGCTGGCGGAATCCGTGAAGAGGAGTAGCAAGAGAAGGAGCATCTGAACGAGCGGAAGATGCCAACGAGCGACAACTCCCCTCAGCAGAGTGTTGGAGCCTTGACTGGCTGATAGAGGGCGATTGACGTCGGGTGACGGAGCGGGTGATGGGGCAGGCAGAACCGCCGTATCTTTATCACGGTTTTTCCAGGCCACCGAATGGCGACGCTGCATATGCTGACACAACGCTGTAGTCCCAACATGGGCCCCCTGGCCACGCTTGACTTTCTGGCCACATAGTCGACATACGGCTACGTTTACTTCCTCGGGCGGCTTGACGAAAAATTGCCACACCGCCGAGTAGGAAACTTTGCCCCCGCTACTCCTCACTGGCTGACTGCTACTTCCTCCGTGCACACCGGCACCACTACTGGCCGTGGTGGTAGGCTGCAGTGGAGCTGGTGCTCTACTCCGTGGCCGTTTGCCTCCACTGACACTGCTACGACCCTGCTGCCTCCTGGGCAACCCACCGACTGTTTTGCTCGTTGGCAAGCTGGCACCCTCTTCTCCTGATGATGCGGAAGCAATAGCCTGATGACGACGAGGCTGCCAAGTGCGATCAGCCTCATCATCATCAATTAGGGTCTCCGCGTCACTACTAGCCCCCTCGGCTGCGTGTGGGTCAGGAGACAGACCTGTCTCTAGACCGGCTACCGAGCCACTCTCCTCGCCACTACTTCTTCGCCTGGCTGCTGTAGAGGCGGATGTCTCCCCCGTTCCTGACCGCCCTCTGTTAGCTCTTCCTCACTGTACAGTGGGGCTGAGCCCACAGCATGCGATACTTCGCTTGGTGAGGGAACACCAAAGGACAGGGGCAGGTAGAGGACACGTGATGTCAGGGCCTGGACTTGAACCTGGGACTTCTACTGTGTCAGGCAGTAACTCTACTCACTGAGCTACCTGGGATGCTGGACAACACTTTGCCTCATCTATTGGATAATCCTGCCTTGTGCCTTGTTTGCTCTTGAACCTTGAACTCCTTGCTCCTCCCATGAACTTCCTATATAAGCCATGTCCTTGGACTTCCTCCTTGCCAGATTATTGTGCCTTTCCAGCCAATATCCTGCTACTGTTCCTGCTGCTGTCTACACCTCCGCTACTGACCTTTGGCTTGTTCCTGACCACGATTGATCTGCTACCATTTGTGACCGACCCTTGGCTTGTGACCGACTCTGCTTTCGTCTGATCCCTAACCTGTTGATCCGCTATTGGTTCTCAGTCTGCTCATTCCCTGGTGGGGTGATCCTGAGATCTGCGACCTGGTATTAACACGCAGCCCAATCCATCTCCACCATTAGGAGCTCTGGTGAATACCGGTTAATACTTAGACCCCGCACCTCAGGTGAGCCTGCGTCATTCCCAGGGGATCCGCTGGTGTACCTATCCTGCTGGTTCCAGGTAAGCCTTTTACTGCTATAGCAACTGGTCTCTGAACCTGACCTTACACCGTGACAGAATAATCTGGCCCACACATGGAGGCCGCTATAGCAAATGCCATGGCTCCTGTCAGGCAGCAAATTTCAGAGCTACAAGAGTTTGGTGTTACCTACCAAAAGAAATTTGCTGAACTGCAAAGTGTAGTAGAGGGGCAACAGGAAGAGATCCATGCTCTGCAGACACGATTGCTGGACATGTGCTCCCGCGATGTTGCTAATACACGCATGCCTCTGCCACTCAAGTTCAATGGAGACCGCCGCCACTACAGGGGTTTCCTTAACCAATGCCGCATTTATATTTCCAGATGCAACCTGCTGCATTTAATACTGAGAGGCAGAAGGTATTGTTTGTTATAAACCTCCTGACTGAGGAAGCCCTAGCTTGGGCCTCTCCCTATATAGAGCAAAACAATGCAATGTTAAACAGTTTTGCGACTTTTGTGACTGCAATGAACCAGGTCTTTGATGATCCCAACCGCTGCGCTACCGCTGAAGCCAAGCTGCATAGTTTGAGGCAGGGTAGACGCCCTGTTGCGGAGTATACAACTGAATTTCGACGCTGGATCTCAGACACCACCTGGAACCCAGCAGCGCAAAAGAGTCAGTTCCGACAGGGGCTCTCTGAACAGGTGAAGGATGAGCTCGCCAGAGGAGAGACTCCTAACGATCTTGAGGAGTTCATCCAATTATGCATTCGGATTGACCAAAGACTGACAGAAAGAAGAAAGGAGAGATTGGGAAGTAATGGTGGCATGCGTTTTTCTGCTAATCAGTTCAGTCAGAAAGATTTAAACATTTCTTCAGATTATAACACACCTGAACCTATGCAAGTAGATACTGTTAAAAGATCAATTTCTACTCAAGAGAAGGAGAGAAGACGTTTGGAGAATTTATGTTTATACTGTGGGGACTCTGGGCATTACGCAGTCAATTGTCCTAATAAAGCCAAAAGAACAATTGCTGCGACTGATGTTATCCTGCCTGAACGCATAAATTCAATACCCAGTCTATCTCCCCATTGATCGATGAAGAAAATAAAGTTGGTCCTAAACAGTCTCATTTTGTTGTCCCTATCAAACTTTTTACTGAGGGCCATGAAATTCCTTGTTCTGCTATGCTGGACTCTGGGGCTGGGGGAAACTTTATGGACATAGAGTTTGCCCACAATAAATAATATTCTCAGGAGAAACAAATCTGCCCCTATTGATATGGAGACAGTTGATGGTTCACCTTTATCATCAGGACCAGTTACTCATGAAAAC